TCAGTAGGGGGGAGAGAAAGCCCCAAGGACTCTCAACAGACGACTCGTGAAAATCCAAAGAGAAAGGCCACAAAAGCCAGGGCAGGGGGAAGGTTGATTCAGCTGAAGAACATCGCCCTTGGGTGTTTGCAGAAGGGCGCCTGATAAGAGCTGGCACCAGGATACGGTTCTGTTAGCTGGGTAAACACAGCATGGATCTGCTAATAAGAAGGAACTTTCAGAAGAGACACAGTCATTTTTAGCATCCTAGGAGCTGATGTGTCATGGAAACAAGAGAAGCGACACAAGATTTGGGGCTGCAGGTGCACCGCACGGCCCTCCGCGCCCAGACGGTCCTTCCTTCTGTGGGCCTGGCCCATCGACAGCCCTCCTCACCCAGGCCAGTGGCTTCTCTGCGTGGTGCCCCACCACCACCACCACCACTGAACCCCTTTCCATGTTGTCCATTGTCATAGGTACCCCCCTCCTGCACCCAAAAGCCAAGCCACGTGGCTCTCCCTGCTCCTGCCCTCGGGCCTCAACCCCAAGAGAGGAAGGAGGAGAGGAGCACCACGTCTCCTGCCAGTGATCTGATGGAACCTGACCACAAAGTTGGCACTCCTTGCAAAACAAACTCAGGAGGGGTCACCCCACCCCACCTCTTGGGCAAGCGGCCGGAGCCCCTAGGCTGGGAGGAAATGGATCGGTGGCAGGAGAAGGAGTTTCACTGGATTCCTAAGCCTCTAATTAGAAAACCATCAATATGCAACTGAACTTGATTCTTTTAAACCTCCAGCTGCAAACTGCCCAGGAAATATTCATGACTGGGCAATATAGACATATCTTAAAGGTTCCCCTTGACAATTTTTGTCCAGTCGTGTTCGACTCTAGGGGGCGGTGCTCATCCCTGTTTCCAACCCATAGAGCCAGCGTTTTGTCCGAAGACAATCTTCCGTGGCCACATGGCCAGTGCGACTTAGACACGGAACGTTGTTACCTTCCCACCGAGGTGGTCCCTATTTATCTACTCGCATTTGCATGCTTTCGAACCGCTAGGTTGGCGGGAGCTGGGACAAGCAACGGGAGCTCACTCTGTCGCGTGGATTCGATCTTACAGCTGCTTGGTCTTCTGACCCTGCAGCACAGGCTTCTGCGGTTTAGCCCACAGCGCCACCACGTCACCATCTCCCCCCCCCAAAAAAATCTTCTGGCATCGCCATATATCAGCCAGCATTCCAATAAAACCCCAGCACAGACTACCACGGATGGCCTCTTTGCCAGACAGCCATTGCTCCTGACGCCTCCTACCGACAGTCCAAGAGGTTTAGAATCTGGACCCACAGGGGCATGGCTGTCCTAGTTGCCAAGGGAATGTCATGGCAGGAGAATCAGGTCACGGCGGGGATCCATGACACCTGCAGCCCCCTCAGAAGAGTTTCAGCATCCAAAGTGCATCAGGGCGGCCCAGGGTCTTGCTAAGAACGTCTCCCACCTGCCTGTTCTCTTAAACCAATTCTGACAAGATTATGAGGCATAAGAAGTACCGCTCCGTATGCAGAGTGACCTCAAATGACCTGCACCGAGGGCTGGTTGTTTCTGAGGCCCCGTTCCAGGTGCGAGTTGAACCACCAATGCCCTTGAGAGCACATGGTGGAGAAATCAAAAAGGTCAGCTCTCTCACTGTGAACCTGCCCAACCATCAAGATCTCTGGGGAAGGCCTGCTTGGGGGTACCATCCCATGTTGAGAGAGGGCTTCCTCCTGGGCTACCCCCAGACCATGGGATATGTACCTTCCCACCCACCCCCAAACAGTTACTCCTTTCCTGGCTTTAGAAAGGGTGAGGCATGTTCTTATCCGGGCCTTTTAAAGGTTTTTGATTGCTGCTGTTCATGATGCTGACTGGATGAGTAAAGAAGGCTGTTTTAAGAACCTCACGGTGCAGTGGCTAAACTGCTGTACTGCAGTCAAAACTCTACTCATGCCCTGGGTTCAATCCCAGGTAGCCGGCTCGAGGTTCACTCAGCCTTCCATCCTTCTGAGATCGGTCAACTGAATATCCAAACTCACTGTGGGTGGTGGAACAATGTGTAGTCCGCCTAATTAATCTGAAAACTGCCCAGCGAGTGCTTTTTTCTTTTTTCTTTTTCTTTTCTTTTCTTTCTTTTTTTTGCATTTGTCTCAATGGACTTATATAGTCTTATTTATTTAATCCTAAACTTCTTTTCTTTTCTTTCTTTTTTTTTTGCATTTGTCTCAATGGGCTTATATAGTCTTATTTATTTAATTCCAAATGAAGACCGAGGGGTGAAAACTGCTCCATCAGGATAATTAAGACCGATTTCCCACAGTGCAGATGATCCCAAATGGGTTTGGGAGAGCAAGAGGGAAGGGAACGGTTTAGCAAAGTTTTTTAGCAACTGAGAGAGCATCAAGAGGGGAGTAGGTGGACGGGAGAGGAAGGTGTTCCACGGATTGGAGGTCCACTAAGGAGGATCTCTTACTCCCTGTCTCTCCCAAGCGTACCTGGGCAAAAGATGAGACGTGACGTAAAGCTTCCTCAGAGAATCCCAGGGAACAGAGAGGGACTGGTGGTCAAAGACACATCTCAACCAGCGTCAAGTGACAGGAGGCTCACAAGATGTCACCCTGCTCGCTCCCACCCTGTCTCTCCTGTTGCCAGGGGTTCTGAGATCAAGCTGTTCAGCCCCAGTTCCCACACTCTCGACTGGGGCCTTCAGCAGACATCACCGGCGCACCCCGCACGGTGATTACTTCGACCATTTAACACCCCCTTCAACAGAGATGGGAGAGATTATAAGACTGGGTTAGCAGTTCAATTAACTATGAGTGGCTCCTCTCTTTCTCTACCAGAGTCCTCTCGCCGTTAACCAAACGTTAAGTCTTTCCTCTTCTTTTTTCTCACGACTGCTCCAGATGATCTGATACACTCAGCCCAGATTATGTTCATGCATGCCGAAGACCGCACCGCAACTACTCACAGACCACCACCACCCATGCATAGCAGACAAAGGGAAAGAAGCAAAGCCTGGCTGTTCTTTGCTCCAAGGCCTTGCCTACTTATGAGGAAGAGGGACACCTCGCCCTGTTTTCTGAAAAGCGGGAGCAGCATCAGCCGGAGCGACAGATGGGACTGCTGATTTATTCACTCTGTGTCCTTCAGAGCTCCTTTTATAACACGGCTACGGCCAAGGAAACATTTCCCCCTTGTCAGTGTTTGCCAGCTGGGGCCAAGGAAGGGAAGGATGGCAAACCACCCAGCAGGAAACACAAAACACCAGCCCCACCAGCAGCATCAGCAGCAAACGGGGATGGAGAGCAGCTTTCACAATTATTAACATGCAGGGCCCCACCCATGCGGTCGGAGGAGGACTCCAGGTAATTAGTTCTGCAAGGTGGGCTGACCCGTTTAGCGGTCAGAGGAGGAAAGGAGAAGAAAACCCACCCAAGCAGCCGGGCGGCCGGGGAGGGGGAGCCTCCCTCCCTCTTGTCCAGGGTTTCAGAGCTTTGGAGCTTTGCTTTAATTAGCCTAAAGAAAACTCTTTACTCCTATCTGAATAATCCATGTTTCTCATTATTTATTCAGCTCCCTGCGGCTGCGAACAGTCAGGCTTTAGCCTGCCGAAACGTATCGTCTCTTGCCGGCACTCGCCAGCCGCCTCACCGTGCGGCTCAGCGCGGACAAGGAAAGCCATAATGCTTTCCCAGGGGAGGGGAGGAGTGGGATGGGGGAGCTGTGGCCAGGCGCTTGTCCAGGGATCCAGATGAAAGGCTAGGTGGACACGCACCCTTTTAACTGAACCAGGAGGTGTCGGTTGGTGGGCCGGGGACTGTTTGGTGTCTCCGAAACAGGCTTCCAGCTGGCCAAGAAAAAAACCGGCCAAGGACAAGGATGTCGTGGCCCCACTGAAACCTGGGGAAATTTGCTTCTAGAACTGAGTTGCCACAAGCCCTTCTGGGTGTGCCAGTCACTTACAAGCCTGGGGTCAGCTCCCGTGGCCCGTTGAGTCTTCGCAGAACTGGGGCGGGTGGGGCAATGGAGACTGAACACCGACAAGGGACTGCCTCCAGGTGGCCTGGCTTGCCAGAAGGCTTTACGAACCTCCATGAGCTGGGAGCAAAACCACATGACCCACAAAACCACGTGACCCACACGTCACACCAGGGTCCCAGCAAGACAGAGGAAGAACAGAGACTCTCAGGCACATGAGCAGAGACGGGCACACACTGGGGTTCACCGCCTCAGCTTGTTTCGCTGGATCGGGCCCACAGGTCTTGCGTGGCAGGCAGCCTTGGATTCTGCACCCCACCTCCTCCCGTGGGTGCCCCTGTTAGAAGCGGGACCGTGGCCTTCCCTGCCCTGCCTCCTCCTCCTCTGAGCCCATGGGAGGAGGCGGGCGCAGCATCTGTGGACAACCGGAGCAGTTGTGAGCTCGATCCGGCGAATTTTGGGGAACCAGAGTAAAATGCCCATCGCGACATGCGGGTTCTGCCAATGCTGACTCAAGCACATGGAGCAGATTGGCCCACTTGTTCCCCAAACCAAAATGCAAAAATAGATTTGGGTGTGGGATGGTAACCTTACACTATGAAGACCCAATCCAAGAGAGAGAGAGAGAGAGAGAGAGAGAGAGAGAGAGAGAGAGGGAGGGAGGGATATCCCATCGTTTTATCACCCAGAGGACCAGCTCTTGGAAGGTGGAGCACAGGCCGCGCAATGGTGCCATTTCCTTGTGAAGCCCACTCCCACCCCCAACATTTCCACGAGAGGCTACCTCTGCCTAGCTGACTTCACCACTATGGATCACTTTGAGCAGGCCGCCGGATAGAGATAAAGACTCTGCTCCCAACACCAGAGACGACCCTCACACACACACCCCAGATCTTGGCCATAGAAGAGAAGTGTTAGCAGTCAAGCCACAAAGAAGAAGACACTTCCTGCCCTCTCCAGCCCCCACCCTGTGCCTGGTTTTACGGCTCCTCCACCCGGCCCGTCTTCACCTGAGCATAAGGTTCATCAGCTGCAGCCCCTCGCCTTTCAGGAAGCGGTCCCGGTTGGAGCTCAACATCAGGGAAGAGCACAGGGAATCAAAGAGGTTCTCCATCATCTCCTGCTCCTCTGCTGTGCTCGGGTTATGGCGCTTGAAAACCTGCAAGGAGAGGAGACCCATGGACATCACAGCCTGCCTCGCCAAGGCACCCTCCTGCTCTTCCGGGTTCCTGGGCGAGGCGCCTCGAGAACTCCAGATCGGCACCTTTTTCCTCCTCTTTTTCTGTGAGAAGGGAAACTTGTTGGATCCAAGGTCACTGCATGCACGCCTCGCCAAGGCACCCTCCTGCTCTTCCGGGTTCCTGGGCGAGGCGCCTTGAGAACTGCAGATCAGCACCTTTTTCCTCCTCTTTTTCTCTGTGAGAAGGGAAACTTGTTAGATCCAAGGTCACCGCATGCACCTGAACCTTCACTGGCTCCAGGACAGCCTAGACGTCGGCTGAGCAGCCAAGCCAAGTCTTGCCAGTTCTCAAGACGGAAGGGGCCCGTTACGGCTGGCCTCTGAGGCCGCTCCGCGCTCCAGGGCCCAAAGCCACTGCTCAGGATTGTGCGATGCGCGTCAGGAAAGGAAACGCACATCGGGGATTTCTAAGCATCCACCTCAGGCCCCGCCGGCCGTCCAAATCCACAGCCTGAGGGCGACGGAAAAGCTTCCTCCCTCGGGCACGAGCCATGGCTGAGCATTTTGCTGGGAGGGCCACAGGGTCCCTGCGGAGCTGGTGTTACGGTCAACCTCTCTTTCCTGCTGTCACAGGGTCCCTGCGGAGCTGGTGTTACGGGTAGCATTTCTCGGTCACCCTCTCTTTCCTGCCACGGGCAGAGTGAGAGGGCAGGACACACACACCCCTGCTCTACACTCCCCCATGCTGCTCTTCTGGAGCCACAAAACGTGGGAGCAGCGTGTCACCCTTGAGGACTCCGAAGCCTGGGAACAGACAGGTGACATGTGGCAACGTGTTTCCCGGGGCGCCGTGCTTCCACTTCACCGCTGGTGTTAAGCACCTGCTTCTCTTGTCAGTCTTGAAGCTTGGCGCCCCGACCCCCTCCTCCCTCCCCTCGGCCCCCACAACTCTGAAGCCCAGCTCTGGGGCTCTCTGGGGGCACACGAGGCGGCAGCAGGATTACTCACCGATAACTGCTGAAGCAGCACATCGATCCCATCCAGCTCCCCCAGCAATTCCCGGTTGTCTACAGGAAGGAGGGAGGAAAAATGAAGCCAACTGTCAGATTTTACAGCCATCTAACACTGATATACCAGCAAACAAAATCAATATGGCTTGACAGAGCACAAAGGCTGCGGCATGATGGAAAGAGGAAGAGACCGGCAGAGAGAGAGAGAGAGAGAGAGAGACAAGAGTGCACAGGCAAGGCAGGCTGAAGGCAGGAGGGAGGCAGACAGGTTTTTAAAAAAGGACCCTGAGCAAGAGGTGGAAGGAGGTCAGGCTCTGAACCAAGCCGGCCACTCAGCCCCGCAGGCACCTTCGGCGGAGGAAGGGGAGAGCTCACCATCCTTGTTCTGGAGGAGGATAGCCAGCACCTCGCTGCAGTACAGCTTGTTGGCGTCAAAAGGCATCTTGGCCTAGGGGAGAAAGAAGAGCACTGCGGTTAAAGCCGTCCGAGACGAGGGCCGCCGACTTGCGACAAGGGTGGGAGAAGGAAGGGGCTCCGGCATCGGGCGGCTTCTGCCCAGCAACGGCGTTCGGCCAGGCCTTTTCTGGCCAAGGAACAGGAAGCAATAGCCCTTGGCTCATCGACAACCCCACCCCTCCCTGCAGAGTGAGTAAGTTACTCTCTCGGACTACAACTCCCAGGATCCACTCCTCACCTAAGCTCTCTGGTTCTTGTCAAAAATTCTTAACTTGGATCTGAGCTCAGTGGAAGGTGGAGCATTTGGACACTTGAGAGGGCGGGACCCGAAGCAATGGATTCAAAAATCGTAGAATCGTCATAGGGTTGGAAGGGACCTGGGAGGTCTTCTAGACCAACCCTCTGCCCAAGGCAGGAGACCTCAGACCCTCCCGGACCTCAGACCATGCCGGACAGAGATGGCTGTCCCATCTTTTCTTGAAAAACCTCCAGCGATGGGGCACCCGCTGCATCGAGAGGCAAACTGCTCAAGAAAGAAGACTGGGAAGAACGTCCTGAGAACCGTTAAGAACCGTTAAGAAAGAGGAAAAAAACCACCTCAAAAGGGGGCAGAGGGAAGGTTTTTAGGCCAGGGCTGGACAATTTAGCTGCAGATCCCCTGCTCTGTCAACTTAAAGAAGCATCTGCAAATATTTCTAACAGGCACGACAGTTGGAATACTGCACACGCTGTCTTGCTTGTAACCTATTTAAATATGGAAACTGTTTTGTGAGGAACTGCAGGGCCTTCCCCTTCCTTACTGTTTTAAGAGACGAAGGAACAGCTCCCTGTGTGGGAAGGGGGTGGGCGGTGGGAATGGAAAAGCCGCATAAACCAGCAGCCAAGGGCCACCATCAGCAGGTAGAGATGTTGGATTTGCAGGCAGAATCTTGGAAAAGTGGGTGGATTTGTCCTAAGAAAAACCCAGAGCACCGTCTATAACTGAACTTGTTCTCGCTCTAAATTTAGCTTCTAATGTCAAGGAACAGAGATGTATGTACAGCTTCAACCTGTTCTTATGAAACAGCAAGTGCAACACCCATGTCTCTCACAAAGAAGAGGTAGGACATGTGTGTGTGTGTGTGGGGGGGTAATGTTTGATTTGACTCTGATTCTGGGCTGGGAGAAGAGAAAGGTGGCATATAAAACTAACTAACTAACTAACTAACTAAACTAACTAGCTAGCTAGCTAGCTTGCTCACTCGCTCGCTCACTCACTCACTCACTCACTCACTCACTCACTCACTTGTTGGCTCAGTTCGAAATGTTGTTGCTGACCTCCAGAGCCCTAAAAAAACAACTAGGGACCAGAATGTCAGAAGAACCAGGTTCTTACACCTACATGTGACCACCAATAACCCGTGTTCTCTGCTAAAGCCCTGCTTTGCTGCTCTCCGCTGCCAGATAGAAGGTCTCCAAATGCCAGCGATGGCACTTTCTTAGCCTTATTGCCTAAAACTCCGGGGAATATTCCAAGATGGCTTTGTGCAAACACTGCCTTTCAAGTCTCTTAGACTGTCCTGACACTCATTTGTTTCCTTGCCCATCTTATTCACTGTTGGCCTCTGATAGCCAGCTGCCTGGAAAATTTCACCCAAAGGCCGGGTGCAAAGGGTAAGAGCAGAGGACCTCGGATGCTAGTTCACC